TGATATTAATTGATATTAATTGATATTAATTGATATTAATTGATATTAATTGATAAATATAGAATATGGGATCTCGCATCTAAATGACGTATTATATGAGGGTATTGGTTGGCACTGGCGATCTTTAACCCATAAAATGTGAAATTCTCCAGGATCCGCCATTACCGGATTTCCTCATTAGCCATAAAACCACATCCCCCATGTTTTCCAGTGGATTGAGGGCATCACGTGTGCTCTACTTTCACAAGTGGCTTTGAAACGCAAACGTCGAGGCAAAGGGTGCACATTGTAGGCAGATGTTGTACACCCCCCTAACCCCCTTGAACGACGTAATACACAACCCCGTATCGGAACTCGAGTGATCACGATGTACCAGTTCCTGTACCTTCCGTTTTATTTCCTTCCACCCACGGAGATAATACAACGTCCACGTGCCACTCAACAAACTGGGTTATTTCCCATTTCAATTTTTGTCTTGTGTCGCTACACAGACATGACTTTTCACTCAATCCCCTGGAATTTCATTGCGTCTTGTTTTTTTTTTCCGGAATATTTTTCCCATCTTCTGAGATCAAAGGCACAGCCCTCAAGTCCCTAGCTTGGAACCCTGACAATCTAAAATCGAATTCAGCCATCAAACGGGGAATATTCACAAAGTGAAATGGAGAAAACAACTCCTGGGGACAATCGTCGGGGGAAAAATTTGTCAATGAGGAAATGAGGAATTTTTTTTTCTCCATTTTCTCTCGTTTTTAGGTTTTCTTGTTGGCATTGAGACTATAATGCACATTTAGTTGGCCTCTCGTTTTATTTTGTTTACCTCCGCTGGCATTCTATCCACAAATTCAGGGCTAAGATGCTTAGAACGTTTTAATGAACAAACGGAAAACAATGAGGAAATGATAAGCGCAGGGGAAATACACTGTACATCGTATCCCTGAAACAATGGGAATGCATTATCTCCACTTTTCGATGAGCAATTTCGATGTTATCGCGGTCGAAGCACTCGCACGGGAAATTTAAAAGAACAAATGGAGCTTTTGTTTTTCCGATCCGTTTGATCTCTTCATTCGTGGAATCAGGGTTTTTTTTTCTTTTTCTCGGTAAAGTTGAGTCATTCGGGAGAATGGACTTTACAAGTTCTGGGCTTTTCCGCGCACAGTCTTTTTCTACTTTCCGAGGACAAACGATTACCCTCCAAACGGCTCTAAGGCTCCTACGGAAATGCTGTAAACTTTGCAACATTTTCCCCTCAAAGCAGCCAAGTTTGTAGCGGTTTCCAGTTATGGGACACACGTACTCCTTTACGAGCGACACAAGGCGTCATTTTATCGGCCATTTTCCGTCGACATTGACTCGGCCATCGTCAAGTTTTCCAGTTTATAGGTGAAGGGGATCAATAGGAAAATTGCAGATTGAGTGGCATTTTTTTTTTCAAATCTGAAAACGAAAAAATGGGACCAACGGTATTTTCCCGATTGCAACTGATTTATGGGTTGAGAAAAAAAAAATTTATCTGAGAAAAAAAGACAAATTTTGGAAACTCCTGATTATAAAAATCTTTTAAAATAGAATGTGGAATTAGCAATAATTGGGTCATGATATTTTGCAATGAATAATCACGAGAAAGAACTGCCTTCATTTTTTTTTCTCATGTTCATGTCAATTCACATTTTTCATCCCCCGTATTTGCTCTCGTAAATACAAATGATTGACAGTTTAATGAATATTCCATTGAGAGCAACAAAATTCTTCTCCCTCAAATACCAGACAAACCGTAGCCATTTAAAAAATAATTAATCTTATAATAAAATTCCCCCGAGTGAACAAAACTTTTTTCCCATTGTTAAAACGCCCCCGACGGTTAAAGTTGATCATAAATCGTCTCATTACGCCCTGAAATCCGTCAAACGGAAATAATATTATTTTAATGAAAGCCCGGGCTTTGACAAATTTCACACACAGATTACCCCAGCAGAAGCGGGTGCAAAAGGAAAAATGGTGAATAAAAAAATCGCCGTATCTTCCGCTAATGGCAGGGAAATCCAACCCGCACGAAAATCCAATGTATCGAGTACATGTCAATACGTCTGTGACACCGTTAAAATCAACACAGCTAATTCCCATCCAATGAGTTAAAAAAAAAACATGTACGGTAAAACAATAGATAAAACGGAAATAAAAATCCTCCGGTAAAATATCTTCCCACAATTTTACGAATACTCGAATTATTTTTTAAGTCAAATCACTCGAAATTCCTGCAAATTTATTCGCAATCAACTCAACCATTATCACAGAATTAATAAACAATAATTAAATAGAATAATTGAACGAATTAATTCAGTAAAATTTATCTTTCAACTCTTTCTCGTAAATTACTATTCGAAACGCAATTTTCCCCTTTTTCTCGGGCCATTTTCATTGGATTTTTTCATTTCTCTGGGATCTCTCAGGGATCTAAAAAGGAAAAATCCTCTTGAAACGCTGAAAACAAAATGAAAAATCAGTGAAGAGTGAAATCTATCCTCTCAAACTTTTCTTTACTCGTCCGTTGCCACGAAATAAATGACTCGGAGTTGGGTTACCCGCCCCCTCACACAGTTCATTTAACTTGCTAAGAGGCTCCTTTCGAAGCCCATGCTCATTCGAAAGTTGCAAGTCCGAGGGAGTTAAATCGATGAATACGACAGTCTACCTCGAACCTATAATTCACCAAAAGGTCTCACCCCCGCGGATTCAACCTTTTCCCGAACGGCTTTCACCGTTAAATTTTCTCCCGGTTCATAACCCAACTAACTACCTAGAAACAGTTGCATTTGTGTAATCCCAAATTTGTGATTAAGTCTCTTTCCATTAACAAATGTTTAATCAAAAGATTCCACCCTAGATTTTAAACCAGTGAATTTTACCTCATCATCAATGATCTCATCAATTCCAATGAATCAATCGAAGAGTGAGAAGCCCATCGATATATTTTTTAAATCAATTGATCAATCGTAATTTCCACAAAGACTCAGTCTCTGATGAAAACATCAACGTCACGAAATCGTTACAAACGGATCTCCGTACCCACGGTATTTTACCATATAATCAAGCCACAGAAACGTATTCAAGATATTCAAGTAATTTGGTACATGGAATATTCATGAAGTAACTCTCACCCTCGGCGAGATTCACTAGTGAAGCTTTCATTCTTAGTGGAACACGTTCTAGCAGACGGTGGGTGGAAAGGAGTGGTACCAGTAACCGAGGTCAGAAAGCTTAGCTTTACGAACCAGTAAATCCATGCAGATGAGAGTACCATTGAGGGGAAGGGGGATGGAGGGGCTTTCTGGTGCTAGTAGGGAGGATTTTCACCGTGAACCTAGTGCAAACCTCGCTATTCCACGCTTCAATTAGCCAAAGTGCACGTCATTCACTCCTCGATCATGTCATAACTTCATTTTCCCTCGATATTGCAACGTGTTTTTATGCCTCGTCAATTGATAAGAGTCTCCAACGAAATTTTTGAACGTAAAAGATTGGCCCAGAGGGCTTCTCTCTGGGAAATGTCGAGACTCCATGGAAAATGGAACAGGGAAAATTGTTGGGTTAACGGTCCAGTGGTCGACCGGGAGAAACGGAGAATTGAATTTATTTTAACTTTATTATTCGGGGTAGGACATCGTAAATGTAATAGGGCATGCTAGGGGGGTGAATTCGGTATTTCTCATTTTTTTTTATGATTGAACAATGATAAGTATAAGGATTAAATCATTAGGAGATATTAATTTAGTTGATGCAAATAAATGCTAATAGCAATTGAGTAATTGATGAACAATGGAAGAATCTTAATTTTAGTTCAATTACTCCATGAACATTTTTTGGAATAAAGAGGATTCAGACCAATATACATAAATTTCCAATTAATTGAAAATTCGGTGTTATTTGCTATTGCATATTCATGTTTTCATTGAAAATTCAAATAAGTTGACAAGTTCTTGTCCTCTGATGCCGAAAAATGTAGAATTTTATGAAATTTCCAGCGAAACTACCAATTTTATTATTTCCCCCCCACCCCATCGAATTCAGTGTCGCCTGAAAATTATTAGTCCATAAAATTACAATTTTTTTCCAATATTGTCGGTGAATATATTCTCCAATATATTCTGATCCTGAGAATTCCCCCCTTCGCCCCCACCCCTCTCATGAATTTTCTCGTTAATAAATTAAATTTTACCATCCAAGCATTACTTTCTACTCTATTTCCTCTCTGCTTTGCCGTACCTCAACTTTTTACGACGTTCGCCAGTAATTTTTGTTATTGACTCTATTATATTCGAGTCTTATGTGGACTTTAAAAGGTGCCATGTTTCTACCGTTAAAAAATAATAATAAAATTTTCCAAATGCCATATTTTCCTCGTGCGTAATAAATACTTTTTCTGAGAATTTCTATCACAAATTGACAGTTTTTTCGATGTATTTTTTGAGTTTCATGAGAGACCGTTTGAACGTGTCCCAGCAGACCACGAGAGAGATGTTAATTGGGATAATCACTTTAATGGGAGTGCGTGGCCCTTTGAATACTCTCGTTCATCACTACCAATTATTCCCCTTTTGACTGGTGTATAACAAATCCCACGTTCAATGGAATGGAAAGTCCTTTTGATAATAATTGGAGGTTTCAGAGCTACAGGACATTTTGACGTACCAGTGGAAAATGTTACTTGACGTTTCAAATGAAAATTCCTTGAATACTTGGCATTAACTAATTTATGGGTTATTATCAATTGTTCAAACCAGGTGTGCTGTTAGAAATTTATTTATATTTCCGTCACAACGTCATCTGACGTCTCAATTATGTGGGTTTTAATTAAATTTTAATTGACAATTGTGATGTGCTGTTTTAGTAAAAATTACAGGTGTTCTGATGAATCGAGTGTTTTATGGTGGATTTTTTGAAATAATTAATGAAGGCAGTGGAAAAATTTATAATGTATGTTATTATTGAAATTTCAGGAGGCCCGATGGTTCACCCAGAGTCTCAGACTGTAACGGTTTCAGAGGGTGAGACCTTAAAACTAGCGGTTGAATTTTGCGTCGAGTCGTCTTACACGAAACTTCTCTGGTTGTCTTCGGAGAGTGTCTATACACCTGGGGGCAACGAACGAAATGGTGTTCGTGTCTTGGAAGTCGAGGTAAAGTGAAAATCTCTCCACAAAAATGACACGAAATTACCGCGAGAAGAAAATGGAATAAAAAAATAAATAACCATGTGATTTATTCTGCTAAAAAAATTGAAATTTCATTGACAGCATAACCAGTAATTTTCAGGAGAGTGTCATTAAATAATCATTAAACAATCATTTCTTTCACGGAAATTTCAAAGAACTCATGATTTTTTTATTGAAAAATCAATATTCCACCGCTAAATTGCACTCGCTTTTAAGCCAATCAAAAATTCAAGAACATCTTTTTTTCTATTCTGAAAACTCATAAACAATTTATTGGAAATAAATTCTTCCATTGATTCTATTTTATCGTTAATGCCTCTGATTTTTTTATGTCATGTAATACGAGGCTTTTGCCGTCGGTCCGCAATTAATTTACGACGAGTTCTCTTTTGAGAGCTTCTGCACAAAATTATTCGTCGCAATATCCTCACAAAAGTAAAATCTTTGAAAGCATTTTCCCTTGCCACTTCTGTCTGTGGCCTCCGGCATTTGGCGATTGCTTTGACGAGGCTTTTTTCCCTCCCATTCCTCTTTATTTCTATAAAATTTCCGTCAGTGGGAATGGCATCGGATAAATATATACGGATATATAATTCCGAATGCCGAGATTCTCATGGCCGTTAGTGAAATTCCTGTACGTGACGAGACGAAAATCTCGTTGGAATATTACGACGACTTGAACCGTTTGACCGTTCTCTGGTATTTATCGCCGTCGCGTGTTGAATATCGCGTATCGATTACAGATATATCGAGTATTTGGGGGGGCAGATGATGTTCAAAGGGGGGAGACCTGCCCCTCTGGATAAGTCCTCGGGATTGACCCCAACTTTTTTATATTTTCAAGGGGAAACATTTTTTCCAATCTCAACGATCGATCAAAGCCTTCCCTCAAAATTTATGAAATTAAAGGGGCGGTTTCCTAATAAATTTGAGATTTCAGGGGGTGACTAGTCCTTCCCAAAATGTTTCCATTCCGACGTTACATTGGGTTACAGTGGATTTTTTAAAATAAATTCAATTAATCCACTTAATTAATTAAGTGGATTAAAAAAAATAGATTAAACCACTGGCGACTCGTTGCCCTCCCCGAAATTAAAAACCAAGCCTTTTTGGTAAATTTGGTAAATTCGGTTAATGAAAAAATAGATGTTATAATGGAATTGTTGAGTAATTGATTGATTGGATATTAATGAATTGTATGATGGGTTTCAGCACGGGGGTAATGTAGCCTCATGCTTCAGGACAAGCCTCCAGATCGAAACCGTCCAGTTGTCCCACGCGGGTGAGTGGCTAATGATCGTACGATCACCCTCTGGTACCGCAGATGCATCCATATCGGTAAACGTGACACAAGCATCAAGCTTCAGCAATGGCCACAGCCGTGTCCACACTAGTCCAATTGTATTCATCTGTCTCACTCTCTTCCTACAATTACGACCCAATTAATTTACCTTGGAACATTTTGCGGTGGTAAGCACTTCAGTATGTTCTAATGTGGTTTCCGGACGATTCGACTGTCGAAAATTCATCAGTGGATGCCATGGACGAACCCACCGGTGGTTTTCACTGATTTATCCACGAAAATTATATAGTCAACAGACGAATATTCCATCTTTGACAACATTAATTATGGCCAACCCTCGATTCAATAATATTTGCTTAGTATGGGAGGGGATATATTTTTGCTTTCGCGTTTTTCAGGGGTTTGGGTGAGTTCGGGGGAACCACAGGTTTTTTGGCTTTGTTTTTATTTTAACGAGGTATTCAGACTGCATCCGGGGTTTAATGTAATGTTATTATAAACGTCTTCTAGTTTTGGTTTATCTGACAATAATTTTTGAATTATTTTCGTTTAAGAATTTATTTCTATTCGCATTTGAAATTTTTACGAGAAATTGCTCAATTTTCTGGAATACAGCAGTTGCGAAAGTATCTTGTCTCCCACAAATCGTGAATGCAAAAATCTATCCTCTAAAAGATTTAACGGTAATTTTTTATTGAACTTCGATTAAATGTAAGATCAGCGTTTTCATTTGAATTGAGAAAGTCTCAAAAATCGAATAGATAAGGAAGCGATATTAAAATATTTAAAATTCACCAAAATTTTCGAAAGCATAAATTTGGCTGGAGTTCAAAGAGAGAAGTAAAGAGAGTTCTAGTGCCAGGGAAAGAAAAATTCCAGTGCCGGCATCGAATTTTTCTCCCATTGAATAAAATAATTAAAAAAATATTTGCCCAAATTCCCTGAAGTCGAACTCTAACAGCAGTAGAATTAAAAAAAATAATTCCCCAAGTCACCAGACTCTATAATAGTATTATTCCATATTAATCCCCTCAACCTAATGTAAATAATTGTATAGAAAAATATTTATAATTGATAATTGATAAAGAGAGACTGTTTGTATAATGATGGGTATCACAGGGCAGTAGTATTCGAGGGTTTCGAACAGGTGTTGACCAATTGATTGTCCAATGAATTAACCGATAACTCAATAATTCAATCGAAAAACGAGACATAAAAATAATGACTCGAATTAACAATTTCGTTAAATAAATGAATAATTCCACCGCTATGTTGTAAATTTTACTCTCGGAGAATTCATCTTCGAGAGTAAAACCATTTTGTAAACAAAATAATTCATAACAATTGAAATAATTCATCCGGAATAACGAGAATCATTTCAATTGAATAATTAGTCGCTCTCGCAATGATCAAGTTCCATTAAATGGAGTGTCAGGTAATAAATTGTTGTAAATTCATTTGTTCAAATACATTTGTAATATGTATATAGTCGATGTATATGGGTTTTAGATAAACGTATGTTGTATCGAAAATTGGAAGAATTGGGCGAGAAAGGGGTAGGGGAGATATTTATGATTTGTTGATATATTTTTATAAACTTTTATTTAGAGAATAAGTTTCCTTCCGCTTCCTCTGTCAGTATCTATTATTCGGGCGTTTCTACTCTTCCCTATAATTCATGTAGAAACAGTTAAAATTGTCGTACTGCACTCACAGTTGGAAATTTCTCATTAGAATTCCGAGTCGAATTGGAAATTTAGAAATAAATTCTACAAAATCGTCAATATCTGGATTTGAAAATTTTTTATCGCAATTTTGTAGAGTGCATTGGTGCACTAATCAAATTTTACTCGCGATATCGTAAAAACGTAAAAATCCATCTGTTGAAATCCAGAATTATTCGATAATTCGTCGACTCCTTGGAGAATTCAAATTGGAAATTTCCGCCAGTGCATTTACCTTAACAATTTCTGTAATGGAATTTCCTCGACCCTCATGTACATAAAGAAATGTTCGTCTACAGTTATAAAAAAATCTCCGTAAACTGTTACGAGGATTCGTTGATAATAAGAATAAACAATAAACAAAGAGTAAATTAATATAATTTGCATTGTACTTTAAGAAACCATAAATTCCAAAAATAGGGCCACATGATTTGTGAGGATTAGAAAATAGAGTGGAATGTCAATTTTAAAATGGTACGAAGGAGAAAAGAGTTGAGAGTGCTGATTACCTCGGAAATAATCAATGCCCCTGTTTAAAGGAATAAAAGAAGGGCCGGTAGGGGGGAGGGGGGAGGTGAAAATAAATGAAGAACAAGTAAAAACCGCTTTACAACGTGCAGTTGATGAAAACATTTCCAGATGCGAGTGCAGTCCAGCCCTGGATCGCGCTCACTATTTACCAAGCAAAATCCAGCAGAAAAACCGGGGAAAAAAATAAACAAAGGTAAAAAATTAACCAGATGTCAAATACACTCACAGCAAAAAAAAAAAGTATGATAAAAATGAACAACGCGATTTCAGTGAGATGATATTGCCGCACACAAACTGGTAGTTTACTTTTTCAATCCAGTTGAAAAGCTCGATACGCGAGTCAATTTCAGTAATGAAACGTATCGCCATAGAGAAAACGGAAGGGGTTTTCATTTCCTTGAGAGACTTCTGAGAAAAATAGGTGACACACTAAAACCAGAGAGATTACAGAGGCTGCTGTGTTGCACATGTGTATTTCAAAACTTATCCAACACTATATTTTAATTGATCTGATAATTCAAGTTAACCGAATAATTGATTTAACAGATGTTTAACAATGCCCACGGATTTTCATTGAAATGTTAACTTTAGGATCTCAGAGTGAAGTCTTCAATTCAGGGAAATATTTAACGACTTGATCATTCGGAATTTTTCAGAATAATCTATAAAGCGATCTAAAGTTATTGTAAATAAATTAATATAAAAAAATGGTGTGATGAGACGTGTACAGAGGGCCTATAAATTAATGAAGAGAACCGAAAGTAAATGATTTACCCAAAACAATAAAATCCATCGATACCGATGTAATTAAAATGTGTCAAATTCAGCACAAATAGTCACAATTTGACTGTACTAATTAACTAGTTGATAACAGAGAACTGCCAATTTGGTGTGTATAAATAAATAAATAAATTGATGTATAAATAAATGAAGAGAGCTAGTATTATATACTCGATGAAAAAGAAAAATGTCACTTGATAGTGTTAAAATGCTATTGAAGTAAAACTGTATACGTCCAAAGGGGAAACAATTTTCACTGGATTTTCTATTTATTTTATCCCGACGTAAACAAATCATCCTTATCCATCCATCGTCTTGTGTTATTTCGATGAATTAAAGCATCGACGCACGTTATATTTGAGGTGCATTACCTCTACGGAGAAAATAAATTCGATTTAACCCCTGAAGTATTTTTGAGACGTATATTCTTGAGCTTTCTCTCACTGACATCATCGGTAATTCCGGGTAATGGATAACAGAATGTACCTTCCAGTCGGTTTATTTAATCCTCCGATACAAATCAAGTTGAATCGAGTGCAATTAGCGAGAGGCGAGAGAGATGAGGTTTTTTTTTTTCATTTTCAGGTGTAGGAAAGTCACTACCTCTCTACCTTTTAACGTACCAACGTATCAGAAAGTCGAATGGCGTCTGAGGTACCAGTAAATTACTCTTAACTTTTCTCTAAGGTTAAAAATTACGGCAGTTGTGGGGTAAGAATGGAGGAGCTTAAACTACCATTGGGGCACACGTACTTTTGCTGGGCTATGGAGGCTATTATTCTAGTTTCTATCTGTAGTGAACTACGGTTCATCTTGCTTTTCACGTCATTTAATTATATCGGAGGAATGAAAATTCATTAACTCAGTGAGATTATTTTTTTTCGTTGGCCGAAAGAATTTCCTTCATTTTTCCAGGAGAGAATATTATATCAAATTTTAGGAGAATAAATTCTCCTAGTAGTTTGAATCTGAATTATCCCAACGGATCCCAAGGGATAATAAATATGCGCCGGGAGAAAACTTTAGAAATATTACGCGAGTTCTTCGATTGATCAATTTTTAATCAGATATTTTAACAGCTTGATATTTTTCTTTAATTTATTGCACCTCAAAATTTTATTTTCAAATTCAGCGCGCTTGTTTATAAAGATACATTAATTCATTGAGAAATTAACTCCACAAAGTAAAACCGAGTTGAAAAAAAGATTCTTTTGCAAACGATGATTGCCACTAGGTGGGCGTCAGCTTAATTCCACGAAAGTGCCACTCGTACACCTAATGAGAAAATTGCGCTCTAAATGCTAATGTTCTCATTTTCAGAGCCACGCCAGTAGCTATACCGAGTAGTTGAGATTTTAAAGGCCTTACCCAGTGTTAACCGACACCGTCCCCTCGGCTCTTTCTCAAGCCACATTTTTCACAGCCACCGTCAAACACCTCGCCAATTTATCCCCCAAGACACTGGAAAAATCGGCTTTATCGTCAAGAATACGAACATTCACTCCTCCAGTCGCTAAATTCAGAGCAAATTATTCCCGACTTCTTCGAGCTATTTTCCAAGTCATTTTATCTTCACTATTATTCAGACTGGCAGTATTTCATATTTCACTCTTATAAATTCTATTTCGAGTGTGTGAATATTAACCTGAGTTAGCCCTCAACCTCCAGAATTAATATTATGATCTTTCCCTCGATTTTCCTCAGTATCGACTGGAGAAGATTTTTCCAGGAAATTTTTCCCTTAAATTTTGAGAAATATCCGATAATTTTGAAAAATTGAAATTGATTTTCGGGGGGTATTACAACTATTTATTGGTGGGGATGAGTATAAATATAGGATTAGGATTATAGGTGGTTGAATCGGAAGGAGCCAAGAGGAAAGTTGAGAGGTGTATTATGCGACAGTGGTGGAATCGTTGAAGAAGCTTCCTGGTGTGGAGTAACGACGCGCGAGAGAGCACCTAGATGGTACGGGTGTAAGCGTTAGAACTTAAAACTTTACCAATTTAACTGAGAACTGAGTAGAATGTTACTCTGTGCAAGAGCAAACAACTTGCTTGGGTACAGGCCAAATGAGAGGGAAGAGTGAGAAACGTACGATGGTTGGTAAGTGGTCGTAAGTTTACCCCTCGATGTCAGTCAGGGCCGATTAAAAAAGAAACACGTACTTGCATCATCCATCGGAAAATTCATCCCGATAAAACTTTAATTCACTTTAATTAAACTAGTGGATTGATGAAGTGAAAATTCTTTTCTCTCTGGGAGAACTTCAGCGAAGATTAATGAATGACTTCACCGAGACGAAAAAAGCTGAATAAAACTACTGAAAAAATAATGAAAAATTAGTGCTAAATGTTTATTTTGAGAGCTCCATGTTAAAACGGCCCATATAAAAGTGTTATAACACCCATAAAAATTTTATTCTGCAGAACTGACTTTTAATTGAGTGGAATCAATTTTTTATATGGATTTATTGTTGATTGGAAGATTCGATAGTTACATTGATGGTGCCTTTTTTTTTATTTCCCGTGTAACATACCTTCGGCGATAATTAGTTGAAGCGAGTCCTCAAACGGGAAAAGTTTGGAATTTTTTTTTCATCGATGGATGATGATACAATGGATTTATAAAGGACGTGGGATGGTGTTTCGGTTAGCCATCGCGGAAGAGTGGATACAATGGATCATACACTTCTCAAAAGGACTTTGATGGATATCTCTATTCAGGCATCCAACCCGATACAATACACCTAATCCCAAAACGCCAGTGTAGCATGATTTATTTATATGGCTCAGTTACTGCGCCATATATTTTATTAGATCGATATTTTTTAAGTTTATTTTCCACAAATAGAATTTTATTCTCCCCAAAATAATTTTTTATCCATTACTCCCGGGAAATTATCGATGAATTAACTAAAAAATTGGTGAATGTAAATGTTAATTTAAATAAATAAATGGGAATTGCACACTGAGAGAAATATTCAATAAAAATTACGTGTATTTTCCGTAATTCTGGAGCGAAATGTGGTGGTCGGAAATTTTACGGAACTGTCACGTAATTTTTAACTAAAGTCACGGAATTTTTCCGCGGTGTTCCGTAATTTTTATCTGAATTATCGGTGAAAAATAACGATACCGTCACTTAAATTTTTCGAATCAACTCCGTAATCGGTAAGTGAACTGAAAGTTCCGTAATTTTTACTAAATATTTCTCTCCGTGCAGTCGGTACTCAAATATATCTCAACGATTTTTTTGAAATAACCAATTTTCCCCTCTTCTGGCGAACAGCCGTAAACACCGACTGATAACAAAATGATAACTCGCACACCTCCAATCCCCTTCATTAAGCCATTAAATTGAAGGTTATCAGCTAACTGCATCACCCAACAAATGTGTGCCACGTCCAAGGCGACAACAATACCGATAACCGCCGTTGTAATTAACTGCAATTGTGTCATGTTCCAGTGATCATGACACCATCCATTACCCAGAAAAAATTTCCTTCAATGAATCCTCGAACAATGGAGAACGACAATCCATTCAAGAGGGATTGGAAGATCAATTTCATATTACCAACTCGCCTCATCAGACAAAAGGATTCCAGAATAGATGCCCCTTGAGTAAATAAAAATAACAATTGGAATAATCAATTAACGGTAATACCACTTTTATTGGTAGCCACTGGAGTGGAAGAGTGCCACTATCACGAGAAATTCCCTCTTCGGAGCCATCGGCTTTTGGATGAGAGCGATTATACTTCGAGCATTGAATTTTTCTTTTCATCTTTTGTACTTTTTTTTTTCGAGAGGACTGGGTCACTCCTAAACTGGGTTTATGGCTTATCACTTTGACATTCAAGGTTTTATCTCAAACACTCATGAACGGAAAAACTGTTTATTGATGAGTGATAACGGCTCCATGGAAGTCTCTCCAATCCCTTGCTTTTTTTAAACATCACCTTTTTGCGTTTCTCATTATTTAATTAATGAAGAATCCCAAAATTTCAGTTTTCCGCCATTAAATAATGACGGAAGACGAATACATTATTTTTTCAGATTAATCGTATCAATGGTTTAGTTGTAAAATATTCCTTGAGTAGTTCAATATTGAATTGAGTTTTATTAGGTGGAATTCAAACGTGTAAATTCAAATTTCATCACCACCAGTGGTGAATGCTAATTGAATTGAAGTCCTCTCTATTGCATCCTTCTGGGATGCGACTCACAGGATCAATTCCATTCAATCTAGCAATAATGTGCATTTCGCGTTACCCAAAGACGTAACTTGCGAATTAAATTGTGCAATTTGGATGCTGACTCTCGCAGAAGGCTATTGGGTTTCATTTGATTCAGGAGCAAGTGACAAGGTTGTAAATAGATGAGGTTCATTGTCGGAGGATTGGGTTTAGTGGTGCTCGAGGAGATGATTAAACTCCCGATGATTTTCATAAAATTCTATTGAGGCAGTGCTTGACGCGAAATGACTACATAACTTACGTTATGAACACTCGAGTAACTCTCGCTGAAATTTATTCTGTAAATAAATGAAGAATATTATAAATGTAGGATCATAGAGGTCGTCAATAAATAAATGCAATAGTCATTATTCAAGACTGATAATAAAAAATTGGAGATCAAACCTGCGATTTTAATATCATGTGATTATTAAATTACGGATTTGGGATTAATTTGCAGAAAATGGAAATAATCATTGAAATATTGATATCATGCAACCGTGATTGGACGCACAATGTGCGCTTCCATTCCTAGTAAATATAAAATCAAAAGCAGATCCCCTCAACGAGATATTCTTTATCGTTCGAACTTCCCCGGGGTTATTGGATCCCCGAAAAAAAGTCAGATAACTTTACGACCGATAAATAGACAGAGGTTGGCCTCGCGTAGAGTCGTTGGCCCAGTGGCAAACTGCGGGCTTCCCAAAAAGGCCGAATGAAAAAGATGATGAAGGTTCCTACCCCAATAAATTCCACATTTCGGAACTAGATAAAGCCCCTGTTATCTTCATCATAAACCAGTGGCTTCACCTCCGAGAGTCACAAATTCCAAAAATTCTCCATTAAAAAAACATATCGAAATTCATGAACAGATCGTCTTTCAAATCTCCATCTCGATCACAATCCGATTCTCGATTGAACTAGGCGATTTTTCAATCATCATGTTGAGTTTTCTTTAATTCAATTTTATATCTCTACTTACAGACGGAGATGGATTGGACGTGGAGATGAATTAAGAACGTATGAGTCTGAAGATCTGATTTTTTTAGTGAATTTTGTGATGAGTCAATGGAAAATTAGTGGGGGAAAATGACGGGGTATGAATTTTCAATGAGCCCTCATGCATGATGGAGATGATGGAAGACGAAGGGTGTATCACGAATAGGAGTGACGAGTGGGTCAAGTTCAGGAGAACGTGAATGGAGTAAGATTGCAGAGGCTCACTCTCACTTTCGTATTCCACTGGCATTACTCCCTGGTGTTTGGTGTACGTCTGTGATGTGCGCATGTCCACACGAATATGTACTCTTATGAATGCTTCAGTGATTGCAAGGGAGCATGCAGGATGAGCACCGAGTGAGCTACTTCACTCGAGTGTTGGGAAAAAAAAAATCGGGGGAAAAAAATTATGGAGGGGATTTATTTTTCTCCACCTTCAGTAGCTCAACCTTTATTCCATTACCTTTCGGAAAAAAAAATCAGTCAAGTACGCGTTCCACATTATCAGCCCACATATCATGACCTGAATAATTATCGAGGGGGTTCACCGGAAGATACGTGTGGAGAAAATATTTCGGGTTTATTCTTGCTGAAAAGTCGATTGATTTCGGAAAAAAAATTATAATAATGAACATTTTGGGAACTCAGATCCTGCGCCAATCAATTATTTTTGCTATTTCTGTTGAAGTGTTCGTCGGGGAATCTATTTAAGGGGGAAATTATTGAGATTAAAGATGATGTAATTAATTAATTGATAGTCAGACCTGATGCTTCGGTTGAGGTATTAATTAAAAATTATTGAAATCACGTTTATCGTGGCAATTAGCAGTTTTATTGATTTCGATTTTTAAGGATTTTTCGAGGAAGATTTTTTTCTGGGTTTTCGACTTTTTTTTTGGCCTTTTTTGGATTCGAATTTTTGGAGAGCTAGTAAAAATATTCGGGGCAATCGAGGTCGTTCGTGGATTTGTGCTGATCAGGTACGAGGAGCCCCGAACCCGCATAAATTAGAAATGGAAATACGGAAATGGATTCAAGTTAATCGAAAGGTAAATGTTGAATTTGAGTGATGAATAAATTTCATCCGGCGAAGAAGGAATATTAGTCAGACTTTATTAAATACGTGGGTGCATTAATTCGGAATAAATTTAAATTGTCTTTACCCTAAAAAATCTTCCCTCTAATTTCGATTGAATTTTTCCGTTGGCATCGTAATTACATGACACCTTCACTTGAAAAACCATTGTATATTCGCAGATGAGCGATAAAAAAAAAGCGGTAAAGTTTGAGCTGTAGTTGAGGGCAACCGCAAAACCTCGCTATAGTCAAAGGCCAAATTCTGGGTACATTGGCCCAGGCAAAAGTACGGGCCATTGTCACATGGTAGAATTACCTCAACTTTATCGTCGGTGTTATCAGTGGGTACGTTACTTACATGGCAAACCGCAGATGCTCGTTCGAACTCCGTGTCAACTTTTACAATGACATCCCCCTCCCTCTCCCCTTGGAGTATTGTTAACAATACTTCAGTCAAACTGGGGGGATAACGAGAAGCGCGTGTTCACGACATATAAAGAACCCGTCGACGTCAGGATGCTGTGACACTTTTTTTTAAACCAACGATCCAGCACCAGCACCACCTCCACCAGGGAAAAATGCCACGCGTCTCGTTGCTCATCATTGCACTTCTTGTACCCCTCACCATCGGGTTCACCAACTGTGAGTCTAATAATACCTTTTTTTTTCCTTCTCGGGTAATTGAACAATAATTGTTTCGGTTTTTCCGCACAATCCAGCGGTTTTTATGTTTCAAATATGTAATTACACTTTATTCATCGCATTTTTTTGTAATTAAAACGGATGGAGTTTGTTTTTTTAGTTTTTTCAGATTGTAATTGAAATATTCTCCGCTTTTCCAGTACTTTGATTAAACTGTTTTTTGTGGAAGGTGGGTGAGGGTGGGGGAAATAAATGAGAAAAACTTGGGGGAATTTCCGTGATGAGCGTCGAGGGAAGAGTTCTACGAAAATTCAAATGAAATTCATAAGAAAAAATGGATACAGACTAGTCGTTTGAAATTCAATATTTTTTTATGGAATCATAACACTCTCTACGAGAGTTAAAAATAAATTACGTTTGGAGTTATAGCCGGGAAAAATAAAAAACATCACTGTGTCCACAATAAAAATCGTTTCGGTGTTACTTGTCCCTTAATTCCGATCTCAGCTGGTTAACGAAATAAAAATGAAGTTACATTCCAAAAAAAATAGTCTAGTTTTAAAAAAATCATTGCCGTAAGTATTTCCCGCCGTACTTCCCCAGGTAGACTCGATAATGAAGCGAGTTGCCCAGTAAATCCGTGAATGAAGAGTGCCCCCACCGATTCATGGGAAAATTCCGGAGATTTCGACGGCATTAAAATTTAATGCAGACCGAGATAGGAACAGGGGGTTGAAAACGAAGAGATACGGGATGTGAGCCTGTCACCGCAATATCCCCTAGTTCTCCCTCGTTTCACACCCCCTGACTGATTAATTGGAGTGCCTTATACCCTCGTTCCAACAACCAACTTCCCTCTGCCCGCGCATTCCGCGCAAAACCGTTTGCCCATAGAATTTCAAGTCGCCGCTATTCGGAAACGCGTAATAGATATGTCAAAGCCAGGCCGAACATGGTCATGATAATACGGCGGATGCCAGGCGTGAATCGGAAATGCCGAGGCTCAATGCACTAGTTCCAGGGGATTCAACTTTTCAATTCTCTTTTTTTTTTTCACGCTTTTCTGGCCTTTATTTTTTTTCACTCCCTCTCGATCTAAACCACCAACCCCATCATTCGCTCCGATCGCTCGCTTTGCCCTCGATAACGGTGTAAATTTATGCACTCCGTGGCTCAATGAAATACTGTTGTGATTGCTCCTCTCTTTGTGGGGGTGAATTATTGCTTTAGGGGGAGGGGGTATTAATATTTGATTGCACGGGGAGAGATTCGGTAGATTCTACCAGAAAGAATGAGGTAAATATGATGTTTTCAAATTGGAATTGAAATTCGAGCTGCTGTGGGAATTTTATCATGTGTTTGGAAAAAATTATTGGAGGGTCCGATGATTAATTACTCTGTTGACATAAGTCGGTGCGTCATTTTCTTTAATGATTGGGAAATTTTATGGAATAAAACGCTCGAGTCGGGGACAAATTATTCATTTGACGGGAATAGAAATAATCGATTAGTCAGTATTATATTAACGCAAGATCGATCGAAAATATATGGGAAAAAATCAATTGATTTGATGACAATCATCTCGTCAATTAGTAAATGACGTCCATCAATTGTTGACAAACGCACTCCAAATAGAACAATTAAATCCATAAACTCCGGTAACTATAAAAATCCCCCAAAAAAACCAATAAAATTGTCAGATAGAAATGGTTAAACCGTACCACGTCCTCCAAATCATTTACCACTTGTAAAATGGATTGATTTGACCTGTCAATAATCCCGGAGCAGCCGATATTTCCGAACATCGGTAACAGGAAGTGATATGTTTTTTTTATTTTACTCACGACTATTCGATTTGAGTTTCCACATTTTATTTTTTACTCCCCCACAAACACGTATTTTTTTTTTCCAGAGGAGTTTATGCGATTGACATCTCGATGATTGTATTTATCACACGAATGACACCAATCGCTCCCCAACACACACAATAGCTTTCCGTTATACTGTCGAAATAATATAAAATTATAGCCCCGCGTTTCGGTTTAGTTCGAATTGTAAATTCACCGATGGGAGTGACACACGCCCGGTTGCACTCTTCCCTCGAATTTTCACCTCTCAGTCCGGCTTTTACCCTAAAAAAGACTTTCCACACTTTTTTTTAGGAATGATGAAGTGTCCATTAGACAAATGTCGCGGTTCAGTGATTGACGGCGAGATGTTTTCCCCTCGGCGGGAATTATTCTCTCTTTTCTCTTGCTTCTTCCTACTTTTTCTATCTCTCTTGACGGGGAAAATTGCTAATTTATGATTACGAGCACTCTTCTGCATTTTAGCGTGATGACTAGTTACGAGGGGGTGGGAAGGGCGATGGCTTCAGGAAAGGTTCAAGTGAGATTTTACCAACGTCACCACGTGTTCAATGGTGAATACTGAATTTGCTTTATTAACTCTATTTTCTTCCGACCGGCAAATTTATGTTGCGTTTAATTATCGGTAGAGAGCCACTCATTGTGATGGTGAATGGAATTATCCATGCCAATGGTCATGCCAATGGTCATTGAAATTTTGATAATTCATCGCTGATTGCCATTAACTTTGCGGGACTTTGTAGCTTTTTCCGAAAGGTTCTTTCAGAATTGATTAATTAGTACTGCCTAATTAATCACGCGTTCGGTGCAGTGGGGGAAAGATTCATTTTATAAATAATTCATTTTAAAGGATATCAGTTAAACTAGATTTTCATCGAAACCTCGGAAAATTCATCCGTCAAATCTCACCGCAATAATGACAAAATATTGGAAAACCGGAGTTTATTTTATGTACCAAAACAGTTAACTGCAAGAACAGTACTCAATGTATTCAAATTCTCAATTAAAAGAGCTTCAATAGAATATTCATTACAATTGTTCTCGTTTTGTTGAACTACTCAGTTTCCTACGAATCGACTATTTTTTCAGTATAATGACTGGAACTCCCCCCCAATTAGCATTTCCAGAACAGTTTTACTTTTCTCGCCGAATTCTCGAGAAGGAAAAGTTCCGTAACAATCATCCAGCGATACTGTTACACTAAAGCTTCTTCAGATCAAATGAATTGTGAATATATCGCATCACTGGAGCGGAAATTTAATTGCAAATTCCCCAACAACTGATACGCCATTACAGTATAAACATTTTACTGGAGGTGGAGTGAAAAAAAAAGAAAATGGAGAGAATCAATGAATCCGTCCACAAATACAGCCCTCACGGGATGAATAAATGATATAGTCATAACCACTGATTACCGACATGAATGAAAAAAATAAAGCCCAAGAGCGATAACGCGAAAAAAAAAAATTGTTTGTCGAGGGAAATGGAAAAATGTATGTTCAATATTTGAATATCATCAAGAGTCTCAATCAAAAGTTTCATTATAAAAAAATAAAACAAACTCATTGATATTCAGCAGCACACAAGTACGATCCCCAAAGAATTTGCCTCCTTTTAATCCCTTTTTCACTCTGTCTCTCTCTCTGATTATCGTGCAATACCACAGAGAGCACATATAGACATATTTATTCGAGTCAGTGAATAGAGGGGACTGAAAATGCAATGTGCATCATTCGTAGCCAATTTCCACGATATCGAGAATCGATGGATGCAATTTCACATCACAAATGTATCACGGATTTCTGGTGGATGAATCTAGCCAAACGAATGATGCATAATATTTCGTCAATTTGGCAGTGCTCTGATTTTGATAACTTTCGGTTGGCAGTTGCTGATGTACCCTGTGGAAGAGGTAGGTGGGGAGCGAGAAAACCGAAGATCGTGGGAGGAGGTAATGCTCTTCCTCAGGAATTTCCTTGGCTGGTCAGCATCACCAGGTTCGGTGGACACTTCTGCGGAGGGACTGTCATCAATTCTAAATTTATTCTCACCGCTGCTCACTGCATCTGCGTGTAAGTTACTCCATTACTCGTTAATTAGAATTTTGAGATGAGATTATTTTTCATAATCCATTTTCCTCCATTCTGGCGGCACTTGAGAAAATTCAGGGTGAATAACCGAGGAGTCCATTTAATTTCAACAAATAGTTACGGGTGAAGGAATGTTTTCATCGGACACAGTTCAAAATTTCAACACGACTAATTGCTCAATTATCGTCAGAATGGGATTACCGTCAATCATTCAATATCCTCGACTGTGGGACAGAATCCTATGAAAAATTCAATCCAAAATGTAATGCCGAGTGTGCCAGAAGGGTGTTTAATTAAATTTCGATCCAATACAATCTCGATTCTTTACTCGTTGTGATTAACGTTCCATTTCCTAGATAATTACGGCATTGTTAATTTTAATTATTGAGAACTGGCATTTTTCCAGTTATCCATAAAGTAGAGCTGATCAATATCATAGGAGACGTTTAATGTTTTCCAAAATGTCAGAAAACATCAGAAAATTCATAAAACATTTATTTAAAAAAAAAACAGGAAAACTATCAGAACTTCATGAAAGTCACGAGAAAATGATAACATGAAAAAACGGTACATTCTTCAACAATTCATCCGAAAATTTAAAAAATCATTAATTTCGGCGAATATCCGTAAATTGGAATTTTTGCGAACATGCGTAAATTTGAATTGAGCGGAAAATAATACCGTAGCCATCGGCGGCTTAGACCTGAGGAAAAAAACCGAGCAAGAGGTTTTCCCTGTTGCCTAGAGTAATTTATCTCGCGTTTAGATACTGCCGAAATATACGAGTTTAATCGTAGTGTTGTGCAGAGTAAAGAGAGGGGGTTGGAGGAGTATGAGCAATTAAAAGGCAGGCAGATGGTTGTGCAAAAGGTGTAGGTGGTGTAGGTGAACTGGAGAACATTTCCCTTGGCCGGTGGTAACGAGGGGTTGGCTGGGGGGTTGAATCCGACCCCGACTGTGACTGTACCATGATTGCGTGTGGATTACAGACCACTCGGTAATTGCGTCTCGCAACTCATTGCAAAACCCCACCGACTCAAACTCCACTCCATTCTCCTCAACTCCTGGACCAAACTTCTCACTCCTTCTTACTCCCTTACTTACAACTTATATCTCGATTCAACGATTAATTTGTTTTTGTCCCTCTCTCCAGTCACCAGTCCCCTATCCCACGACTACCTTGACAGTTTTATCCAGTTTTTAACCGTCATCCAACTTCTTTTTATGGCACCCCAGAGTGAAACTGAGTTTCTTGAATTTTCCACTTGCTGCTTGACACCGAGAGATAGATCTTCCTCCCCAAACTAAATTATTACAATTTTACTTTTGTTTTTTTTTTTAATTTCACTCCTTCGAGTTTCTTGTAATTGAGTTAGTGCTGGAGAGCTCTATGTTTCTGCTGGTTGATTAAAATATAGTCTTGATTGATTATTGTTGGTATTCAGCTTTCCGAGAAAATTGTGGGGAGTATATTTTTCTCGGGTCCGTCTGTCTCGGATCAAGGGACTCCTGGTGAGAATTGTTGAATTAAATTTTTCAAGGACTTGACACAATATTTATGTGTTTTTTGGAGTGTACAGGGAACTTTGGCTTGTTTAAGCTTTTTCACTCGGAGTGGTGAATAGAATTGCATTAACAAACGGATGCATTAATTCAACAGAACGACTGGGACAATACCCGCTCGACAACTGAGGGTAACCCTTGGTGAATATAATTTACGTGAACCAGAGACGCCAGCCTCAGTAGCTACTGGTGTACGTAATATCGTTATACATCCCGACCACAAGTGTGGCAAGTACGTGGACGACATCGCAATACTCGAGTTGGAATCACCGATAAGTTGGACGGATAGTGTACAACCTGCTTGTCTTCCCACGGCACAGGGTGAAAAGGGTTACCAGGAATTTGGTGGAGTGCATGCAGTTGCTGCTGGTTGGGGCTGGCTTGGTGAAGACAAATCAAAACGTAAAAAAATTATACCAAGCAAAAAAAAAATCCGCAAATAATCCTGGGACAGTCCTAAGGATTTGTTTTTTTTTATCCTCATTATTCGGGGAATCTTGCAGATAAACGGGCTGATATCCTCCAAAAAGTCAACGTCAATATTGTTGAGAATGAGGTGTGCAGGGAGTGGTACGAGAGCGAGGGACAGAGGACCAGGGTTATACCTCAGCAGATGTGTGCTGGACATGAGAATGGCGGGAGAGATTCTTGTTGGGTATGAATTATTAATGATCCTTCGAACTTCGTAAAAATGTAATTAAATGTGAATAAACAGGAAAAATCCACTTTTTTAGCTGTCGGTCGATTGATCAGCTGTCAAGTGGCATTTTCCAAAAATAGAAAATATAAATAGACAGTCGACAGACTGATCATCTCAATTTCCGAAATTAAAAGGAAATTGCAATTAAATGAATCACGCTCAGTGCTGGCCCGATTATTAGTTCCATTAACTTAATGAAAAAATGTAGGATGTCAAAGGATTCAATTTTGAAGATTACCAAATGGATGTGTTTTTTATAAAATAGAGATGCTCCTCTGGGCACCTTTTTCTTTATCATTTTTCCCCTCTAAAAGGAAATGCTCGAGGTGGAATTGACTCGTGGTCACTGGAGATAGAATACCGGAAGCGATCTTTTGTTTCAGGCTGATAGTGGTGGTCCACTGATGGTCGGAAGCCATTATGACGACAGTACCCTAGTTGTCGGGGTTGTCTCCTCTGGAATAGGATGCGCCAGACCACGACTTCCGGGTATCTACACTCGAGTGTCTGAGTACATACCCTGGATTGCAGCACAAATTATTTCCCGTTAAACAATCCTCAGGGATTCAATTATGCAATACCCAAAGTACAACTGTGATTTTTTAATACCATAAGCCACTAGTCAATTATTCATCGGTTTTCACTCGTCATAGAATAAAATAACATTGGAATATTTTGTACAATTTATTTTTATTAGTTATTTTTTAGATATTTGTTTCCCTCTACACTCTCCTCGCTTTCCTCGGTCTCAAGGGAGTCCACGTCACTCTCGTATTATCTGTTACCGATATTATATCCATACCTCCCATTTGGAGACCTTTAAGTGATGCCTGCAATTGTACCAAAAAAATTCTCATTCGCGTCCTAATCCCGTTCAAATTATCATAGCAGTAGTCTATATGCAAGAAAAGGGAAATGTTTAAATCAAGAATAGATTATTGTAAATTGATTATGAATACTCTCGACTCGAGGATATATTATTAGTGTGAAAGTAGCACTCTGAGGTTTCCGATCGAACCCATTTATTCCTCGAAAGATGAAGTCCTTTTAAAGTAAGAGTAAGAATATCTCTTGAATTCAATGACCGTAATGGAAGAGTATTATGATTCTTGCGTCGAGTATAATATTCTTGATTAAGAACGTAATTTATCGAGTCTGGATGAACGAGTATTTTAATCCTTGAATGAAATCTGATATTCTTGAATTCATATTTCAGTTTTCTTTGTGGATATAATTGACTTCAGTATTTTATACGTGTAAAAATAAGGAGGATACCATTCTGCCTGGTCCAAGGCCTCTCACTCTGACTCTGACAGTTTGAAAACCTTTTTCCAGTGCTTTCTGCAAAATCAACGAGAATATTTCGGAGAGGGAAATTTTAAAACCTGCACTGTTGAAAATTATAAAAAGTGCAAGGGAGTGCGAAGTAATGTGCACATGCTATTATTTAAATTGGTGTAGC